GTCCACTACTGGCCGGGGAAGCTGGGACGTGGCGGTCCCCTTCCCAGGACGGAAGGCTTTCCCGGTCTACCGCTGGGAGGTCTGTCGGCTGCCCGGTCCCGCCGTTCTCCACCCGGCCGAGGCGGCTGGGGCTTTCCGGTCCTCCCCGGTCTCCCCGCCGCCGCCGGAGGCCCGCCGACCGCCCGGTCTACTCGCGAGGGCCCCGGTCCTCTCGGCGGCGGCCTTGCCAGCCCCCTTCCGAGAACGGGGGTCCTCCCGGTCTACCGTCCGAAGGCCCGGTCTGCTTCTCGCGTCCACGGTCACCCCGTTCTGGCCCGGGGCTGGCAGCGGTGCCCGGTCTCCCGGCCCTGGGCTCTGCTGGCCGTGGAGGCTGGGTCCTGCCGGTCTACCCCCGAGGAAGGGAGGCTTCCCGGTCGACCCGCCGTCGGGGAGGGGCAGGCGACGTTGCCCGGTCTCCCGGCCCTCGGCTCCCCTCCGGTCTACCGGCCGAGAAGGCTGGGGCTTGCCGGTCTTCCTCCGAGATGGTGGGGCTTCCCGGTCAACCCACCGGGAAGCGCGGCTTCGCCGGACTACCTGGCGCACGGCGCGGAACCGCTGGCCGGTCTACTGGGCGCCGGCCCTCGGGAAGCCCGGTCTCCCGGCCCTCGGCTCCCCTCCGGTCTACCGGCCGGGAAGGCTGGGTCTTGCCGGTCTTCCTCCGAGATCGTGGGCCTTCCCGGTCTACCTGCCGGAAAGGGCGCCTCTGCCAGGCTTCCTGGCGTCCGGCGCGGCACCGCTGGCCGGTCTACTCGGTGTCAGGCCCGGTGGGCTCCTCGCGTCCACGCACACCACACCACACCACGCCCTGCCTGCCTGCCTGCCTGCCTGCCTGCCTGCCTGCCTGCCGCCTGACCAGCGCTCCTAAACAAAGGAACAGGCTCTTGCCCGGTCTACCTGGAAGGCAGGGAGCGGACGGCCACCCTCCCCGCCAGCCTGCCTGCCTGCCTGCCTGCTTGCTCGCCGCACGGTCTGGGGCTTCCAGGTCCACCTAAGAGGAGGAAACGGCTTCCCGGTCTACCCTCCATGGGGCCGGGAGGCGCCGGTCCACTAGGCGGGGGGCGCGCGTGCCTGGAGCCGCTGCCCGGTCTACCTGCCTTCGAAGGGGGGGGGCTCTGGCCGGTCTTGCGAGAACGGTAGACTTTCCGGTCTACCTGCCGGAAAGCGCGGCTCTGCCGGGCTACCTGGCGTACGGCGCGGAACCGCTGGGCGGTCTGCTGGGCGCCGGACCTCGGTGAGTACGGTCTCCCGGCCGGAGGGGCTGGCGGCGTTGCCCGGTCTCCCGCCCCTCGGCTTCCCTCCGGTCTACCGGCCAGGAAGGCTGGGGTTTGCCCATCTTCCTCCGAGATCGTCGTGGCTTCCCGGTCTACCCACCGGAAAGCGAGGCTCTGCCTGCCTGCCTGCCTGCCTGCCTGCCTGCCTGCCTGCCTGCTTGCTCGCCGCAGTGCCTGTGGCTTCCAGGTCTACCTCCGAGGAGAAAGGTCTTCCTGGTCTACCCTCCTTGGGCCCGGCAAACGCCGGTCCACACGGCGGTGGGCCTGGAGCGGCTGCCCGGTCTTGTTGTCGGCGGAGGTGGGCGGGCTGGGTGGTCCCGGTCTTCCTCCGAGATCGTGGGGCTTCCCGGTCTACCGACCGGAGAGCGCGGCTCTGCCGGGCTACCTGGCGCACGGCGCGCGACCGCCGGCCGGTCTACCGGGCGCCGGACCTCGGGAAGCCCGGTCTCCCGGCCCTCGGCTCCCTCCGGTCTACCGGCTGGGAAGGCTGGGGTTTGCCGGTCTTCCTCCGAGATCGTGGGGCTTCCCGGTCTACCCACCGGAAAGCGCGGCTCTGCCGGACTACCTGGCGCACGGCGCGCGACAGCTGGCCGGTCTACTGGGCGCCGGACCTCGGTGAGCCCCGTCTCCCGGCCCTCGGCTCCCCTCCGGTCTACCGGCCGGGAAGGCTGGGGTTTGCCGGTCTTCCTCCGAGATCGTGGGGCTTCCCGGTCTACCCACCGGAAAGCGCGGCTCTGCCGGGCTACCTGGCGTACGGCGCGGAACCGCTGGGCGGTCTGCTGGGCGCCGGACCTCGGTGAGCCCCGTCTCCCGGCGCTCGGCTCCCCTCCGGTCTACCGTCCCGGGAGGCTGGGTCCTGCCGGTCTACCCCCGAGGAAGGGAGGCTTCCCGGTCGACCCGCCGGAGGGGCGGGGCAGGCGACGTTGCCCGGTCTCCCGGCCCTCGGCTCCCCTCCGGTCTACCGTCCCGGGAGGCTGGGGCGTGCCGGTCTACCTCCGGGATGGGGGGGGTGTTTTTTCCCGTTTTGGACCAGTCTGCTCGCCGGGCTCCCGGTCTACCTGCCGGAGAGCCTGCGGCTTGCCGGTCTACTACGCAGGACGGAGGGCTTCCCGGTCTACCTGCCCGTGCCCCCTATGGAGCCTCCAGGTCTACCCGGTCGCTGGAACCCGACGACATCGCCAAGGGTGGGT